ATAGTTATAAGGATTGTATTAATGGTGTGTAAAAAGAAAGCTTAAAATTTAACTGCAAACATGAAATTTTATTAAAACTTATCGTACATCATGCGCTATTATCGAATAACCGCTATTATCGGTTTTCTTTTTTTCACAATCACTGTAATCACTGTTGGAAGTTTGCAATAAAGGCTCATCAGCAGTCTCATTTCCAGAAGATAATGCACGTTTCGGCATATCGCAAATTTAGGGTAACAGTTCACTGGTCAGAGGGTAATCTAAGCGAGTCAGTTGCTGTTATTCAACTGAATATAAATTACATATTATAAAGATAAAAGTAATATCATGTAATATAGTATTCTTCATTCTTTTCAAAGGAAAAAAAAAATGATATGTGTATATGAAATGCTTTCAATGTTTCAAAATAAAATGAAATTATATATTATACTTATTTTCAATATTACAAAATAAAATAAAATAGAATTGTGTAGATTAAGTGAGATCTAGATTCAGCGCTATGAGCGTTGCCCGCGGCTGGAGGGTTAACACTACGACGATTTCACTATACCTCGTGTGTACACATGCTTCAGTGCGTGTGTGTTTAATTTATATATGCGTATGTGTGTCTAATGTGTATTGTGTGCGTGTCGCGAGTTATTTTGATTCAAGAGAGAGAGAGAGAGAGAGAATGTTGGCCAACGGTTGCTAAAAGTTCCAATAAAAACGATCTTGCGTGCTGGTCGTTGAAACGAAGCAACGAAGAAAGAAGAGAACGGAGAGTGAATTGAAATATAAATGTAATAAATCCATCGGACAGAGGGAAGCTGAGCTGCACGTTCAACATCGCTCGGAGTGTTCGCGTTCTAAGGAGAACTCGGTCGACGTTCCATTGATGCGTTCTTGCATATCTTCGGTCGCATTGTAACGCGATTCAGAGAGCCAGGTTTCTTTCTTTCTCGGTTCTCTGCCCTTTTCAGCGCAGCCTTGTCCACCGACGCAAGGAAATTTCTTTACTTCTTTCCCCCCGATTTCTCGTTCAACGTTGCTCGTCGCAGAGCAGGAACGTCTTAACAATTTTTCCAACGTTACTCTCGTTCCAACGTACCCGTTTCCATTTCACGTACGAATCCGGAGAATGTCCGAGCTATTCCCCGAGGTAAATTATATTCACGAACGTTCGCCAATCTTTGCCGGTCCATCTTGTTTCTCAGTGGGAAATTGACTTGACAAAAAGCAATTCTTCTGAAATTCTTCTCAAGTTTCAAGAATGTATACAGATGATTTAACATGAAAGAAACAGTAACGCCAAACGAGAGAAAAATATTCTTATCTTCTTCACAATGCGAGTAATTTATAAAATTGTAAAATGATTTTATTTTCCTATAATATACCGCATCACCGTGAATCATATTGCACGATCGCATAGTCTGAGAGAGGATATTATTAATTAAGTTATTACCTCGGTATATTCGATATTTTCATTGACACGAGGATATAAAAGAAAACAAGGCGACGGTTTTATTTAGCATACAGTTTTACAAGCAGCTTTGTGTTCCTGTTAGTTTTGATACTGTACGCGTAACAACTTGCTCGGAGAATGTTTCGCGTAAAGGTGAAACGGCTGTGTTGCGGGAATTTCGATTGGTTGTTTGATTTTCGCGTACGCCGCATATCACAAACGCACGTCAAAGGTCAACGCGACTAAAACGCTCGCGAAAGAAAGAGCAAAAAGAAAGATTCAAAGGCAACGCGACTATTGTCGTTTGCGAGCGTCCACGAAAAACACGTATAAATTCGTTTCGTTTATCCGGAATCAAACGAACCTTCCGTCGTAAAATTCGTGTGAAATATTAGCATTAACTTCGAAATTATTATACAGATGACAATTATTATGTTTCTCACTTATTTCTATTTTTACGAGATTTTGGCGGACTTGACTTTCTTCAAATTGAATGTGTTACATATCGGTGAATTTTTCAATCGTTTTCAATTCTATTTTCACTAGTTTTTCGTAATATTATATAACTTTTAGAATACGTGGTACTTAATGCTGCAATTATATAGCCTTTATTATGATCGAAAAAGACATCAAATACAAATCACAGTCTTGAAACTGTTCTCTTTCATTCGTCGTATAATTCTATTCACTATTTTTGTTTTTTTGAAATAAATAATAAAATATCTTTGTGCACATCTCGTAATATTCCATATAGGAATTTTCTAATTTATTAACTTCTTCATTTTATTACTCTTTTTAATGAATTGATTTTAATATTAAATATAAGTAATTTTTAGTTATACTATTTATTTACTCTCATTCTTATTTTATATATGTAAACTTTTGATGGGGAAAAATTTTTACAGGCTTTGAAAGGAATTTCTTCAGTTTCAGAGATATACGTATGTTGATACGCACGTACAGTTTCCCTTTTTTTAGGACGTTACAAGTTCTTTCGTATACTCTCGCAAGAGTGAGATCGAAGTACAAAAATTCAAAGGTCAAAATAAAAGTTATCAAATATCGTGGAATGTTCCATGATACCTAAATCTAAACAATTTAATCCTACGATTAAAAACTCGCAGATGCATATATTTTAAAATTATAATACCACGTCTTTCGGTCAAATACTCGTACGATGATTAATCGAGGATGAAACGAACGTGGATCGTTGGTTAAATTTTAATATTACTCACCGTGTACCCGTCGTAAGTCCACGAACCAAATTTCATGAAACAAGTCTGCTCGTCAAAGGGGAAGTACTCCACGTTGATCTCGCAAAATGATTTATAGATCGCTGGCGGTTTCCACACGACCTTCCCCGTATGGTGCAAAATTGCCTTGGTCATAATGGTCACCTCGTAGTTGCCATCGGCGCTGAAAACAAAATTAATGTCCATCCTGATTTATGTTCTGTTTTTGTCTGTCCTCGTTAGGGACAGTTTCAATACGGAATTCTCTATATCGCGTATTCTCGCGTTAATTAATCATCCAACTCTTGATCTCTTCATCGAGTAAAACATCATTTCAGAGAAACAACTCGATCGTGACGACGCCATTGGATTTGTAAACCTTCACGCAAATTCATATTTTTGAAAATAATAATTTAACAGATTTCGATTCAAATTGAAAGTTGCTGTAATGTACTGAATGTTGTAGAAAACATTTTATGTATTTTTTTTTTTTTTTTTGGCATTTTGTGAAA